ATGAGAAGTTCTCCAGTAACTAATCCAAGCAAAATTTAGTCAATGAGAACTATTATTATTATTCTTAAATGGTTCATAATGGACTCCTAAAAAGGTTAAAAGGGTCACACACATTTGACCTTAGCTGCTGGTGATTGTGAATTCTTTGTCCAAACATCTATTGTGCTGCTTTCCATACCTTGTTTTTGGTGTGTAGAAATTTCCCCCACTCTTCTCCATCCACTCCTGTGGGAAAAATATTGACGACACAATGTAACTTTCACTTTCACTTTTGTAAACAGAGTTTACTCTGCAAGTAGGATTTGCTTTTGTTCCACATCAATACATCATTTTTATTTTTTTAAAGCACCATGACAGCAAATTAAACAAAAACTGCTACAAAACAAAGGCAAAGTGCAGTGCATTGGGTAGCACAGCCTACCTAGCTCAAACTAAAACTCTATTCTATTAAAGAACTCGACTTTTCACAACAAAGTAATGTTTAAAATAAATAGTAGTTGATGACTACTAGTTTTTAGTGAGTAAATAGACGTTTTGCAGTGTGATGTGGTTTATATACCTTTTTCACTGTTTGCAGTGTGTATGTGTGTGTTCACAACTCGATGTGTGTGCACTAACATGGATGGGTTAAATGCAGAGGACAAATTCACATCATATCACTGTCATTGTCACTTTTGAGACCCAAATCGTTCATACTCACCAGTCACCACTTCAATCTGAAACTAGATTGTACTCTACATTCCTCAGTCTGGGTTTGTATAGGCCAGTTGTTTTGAAACCTGTCCTGAAGCACTCCACCCAGCACTGCCCATTTTTAAGTTATGCTGCATTCCAGACGAGGTTGGACATGGGAATATGCCACATTAAATGTCCCACTTCAGACCTCAGCAAATTTCAGGCAATTAGACATCACATTCATATGTTGACCACATGATGTTGCCCTGACACAAGAGCATGAATACACTTTGTAAACAGCTGATAAAAAGAAAAAAACTAAGGTATTATTACATTATTATTAAACTTAATGTCTAATGTTAATGTTTTTACGTTTATGCTCATTGGAAGCAGGACTTGCCAACATCTTGGAAGTGACGTCAAATTGCATGTTTTAATGAGCATTCTCCAAAAGAGGAGAATATGGACATGGACACTGCCATGGCTAGGGAAAAGAGGCGAACTTGGCATGTCAATTTTGCAAATGGAGCTTGAGGTAAGTAGTTTTAAGTTTTAGCGCCATGTCGCGACGATCAACGGCCGTTTTTGAACCTCTCTCAATGTACGACGTAAGACCACCGTTCAGGAACCAAGAAGACCACAGAAATCACCACGATTGGTCATCTTTCATCCAGGACAGCCCAAAATCATACAATGTGTCATTCCATGACACACCCACTTAAGGTCTTGCAGTCTTGACTAATTAGCAGACGAGTTGAATCAGGTGTATTAGAATAGGGAGTGCTTCAGGACAGGTTTGAAAACCACTGATTTAAGCCAAGCCATTGCACTAGCAGTTTAACTAAAGCTTAAAATCTAATAATGGAAGCAGGATGAGAAAAAAACACAAAGCTGCTCAACAGAAGCAAAAGGGTAAGAAACAAGGAAAAGGAGACCTTTGTAAAGGCGCTCATTTTTCCAGGCATTGGGCTCTGCGTTTAAAGAGAGATGACAGAGTGTTAGCCTGCAGCAGTGCAGTCTTTATAGGACTCTAGTTAGCCTAATCCACACAAATGCAGAGATGCCCATGCTAAAAGCTTCATCTGAAATAAATCAGGTTCAGCAGGTTCTTACGGACTGGATTCTATGTGTATTGATAGTTCACACAGTTCATTTAAAGAAAAAGCACACTATGGTTTCCATTCTCTTTTGACTTAACTTGGCAGATGGCAACCTAACAAGTACCTGACACCACTGCACCACTGAATTTGAAAAAAAAGTAGCACCTAAATCCCAAGTAGTACATACCATTCTCCTCGCTGGACTTCCTTCTGTCCTCCGGGTCTACGTTCACCAGCTGGAGGATGAGAGGCCTGCGGGTGACGATGCCCGTCCCGCGGGGCAGAAGGTCTCTGCCAACCAAACTCTCCAGCACAGAGCTTTTCCCGCTGCTCTGGAAATCAGATGCACCACACAAAATACAAATAAATCCGGACTGTCAATTACATGAAAATTTACTTGTTTGGAACCATAACTAAAAGTTCACTTGCTGATCAAACATGTACCTAAACAGCTTAACCGTACTGAAGTTATGTAGCTCCGCCCCTTTTCAGAGCAGCAAAGTTTGTATTTCCACAGCATGAAGGTAAGATTTTACGGATTTATGAATGAACTGCTCATTTTTAAATCTTCCCGGTCTACTGATATTTGACATTGGCTTTCCAATGCTCATGATAACTCTCATTAATTCTACAATAAATAAATCCACTTCACCACCTAAATTAATTTCGATAGCGATGCCACCGAGCTACGACGAAAACGGACGTTCAAAGTCAAAATTGTAAAGATAATGTGATGTCTATAAAGGTTACTATATCATACGTGAATTTCTAAGCCCTCTAAATTATCAACATGATCAAAAAATTTTGCTGAAAAACCAGTTGCACACAATCTACTACATATCTTCTGTCGTCTGATTAATAGTTTATTATCAGCAAGTAAAAGGCTTTTTAGTATCATTCTAAAAAAGTCCACCTACAGATCTTTCCTGATTTTTATAAAGTAAACATAAGAATGACTTTTTTATATTGCTAGAAATATTTCAAGATGTTCATCGCTGTTTATATTAAACTGCATTATGTTTTGAACCTTAATAAAAACTATAGAGCTTTGATCATAAAACTAAGACTATAATATATTATTGGGAGATATATAGTGACAAATAATATTTATACACATTTTATGCAAGTATCTTATAAAGTTATCAAAACTTCATCATACTTTTTTGAAATCAAACCAACCTCTATATTCCGAACATATTATACTATATGAGCCATAAAAGTCTGGAGCATAGTATATAACACATAATTTGTCTAAAGGTTTAATAAAATGCTCCATTAAAAAAAATCATTGGGATCCAACATTTTCTTTCCTTAAATGGCCCAAAACAGGGTTGTAAAGGTGTAAACGAGTTAAAAAAGTTGAGTTTGGATTAACTTTTCCACACAAATAGCCTACAATATTGGTTGGAAAATGATAGGTTGGTACTCTGTGTGGTAACCTTTCCGAACCTCTATTTAATGTTAGGTTTACAGGGATAACAACACTTGCCATCCAGACAGCCATATCCTCTTAAGAGGTCAGTGAAAGTCTCTTCTTTAAGACTCTTTAAACGTACTATACCTAAAGTGTGTGAGGCAGATGGTAGTAAACTCTTCTCCTTGATGAGTCAGTCTCTGGTTTACTTACATTAAAGCTCCATATTACTACAACACTTTTTATCAATTATGCAGTATTTTCCACAATGAAATGATGCAGATATCTAGTGTAACGTCCATCATCATTTTCACCTTGGTCCTTGATATACAGTGAGTCTTGTCTTGCAGCTGCTCAGTCCAAACAACATGCAGCCTGAACTGTCAAGTTCAGACCGACCATGGCGCATCTCATCATGTGTTAGCTAAGAAGTGTACTCAGACCAGCACAGCTTTATAATTTACTTTATGATATTACTCGTGCTTTTAAAACAAACAAATTCCTAACAGTAGAAATGGACACATAATGATAATATACTTGAGGTCAACTATTTAAACATGAATTAGGAAACAAGAGAGTGCATACGTTAGCACGCTAGTTAGCTGGATAGCGCAGATAACATTATTTGAAAGCTAGTTAAAGATTTAAATGTTATCGTCTTAATTGTCAGGATATTGAAAACGACATTGATTTATTTGTCGTTGATCTTGCCATATAATATAAACAATGTCGCAGGGGAAAAAAACGTAGCTAATAATAGGTTGTGTTCCAAAATGAGTGAACCACATAACGTTAGATAGGGGCTTCATAGGCGCCCTCGAACTTTCCATTCCATTCCGAAATGCAGTCTAGGTGGGTAACGTTAACTCACTACTAGGTTTTGAAACACCACCATAAACCTGTATCAGTCTGAATGGAAACAGCAACTGCAAAATTACCTGCGTTCCCACCACTGCAATCTGAGGCAGCTGGATAATATCCGCCCCGACTGTGTTAAAAACATCCTGAAGTTTGTTAATGACAGGAATAAGAGCCTCCATCGCGTTGACGATCTGTTCCACTGTCAAAACGAGTTGCTAAAGAGACTACCGCGACTAAACACGGCACAAAGTCATTCAATGTCCCTCACTGTGACACCATGAAAACCAAAACCAACCCGGCCGCGGAAAAACTGCGCACTGATGGTGCATTGTGGGACTTGTAGTTTCAGGCGGCACAACAGCTGTTGACCCACTTTTGAATTTTCTGGAAATAAACTACATTACCAAGCATTTTTCTGAGTGGATGCGCCAAGGCAACCGTAACTATGGGGTGCAACAAAATATTTTGGAGAGGAAAACATGTTTTGGGTAAGGTAGAACAAGTACCACTATTACATAATAAATTACAACACATGTAGCCAAGTGGTGTTATTAATATGGTTGTCTGACAGCATCAACACCAAGAGAAATGTTCATTAATAATAGACTTTTTTTTTTTTAACAAACGTGAACTGGATAAATTATTAACAGTTAAATACAAAACGTAAAAAAATATATTGTTTTCATATATACGAAACACTTTTAAGTCATTTTTTTTAATGGGTTCAGAGCAAAACCTATCAATGTAAGTTTATTAAACTTCTCCAATAATATTAATAATTATATAACATGCCTTTTTCTTGTTCTGTCCCATGGCTGTTGAAATATATGACAAATTCTATGTATGACAAAAACTCCAAGTTTACTGAGCATACTAAAAATGCTCCTGTATCTCAACAGCACAGCAATTAATGTTTTATAAAATTCTAAAGAAAAGGGTCCTCAAACAAATAATTTTGAACACAATTTATTTTTAACCCTAGTAGACATACATCTGGGTTCAAATAGGCTATTTAAGATTTACATTTCATCCATAGGATTAAAATAAAGAAAGTGCCAGATGAGTCTACCAAGACTCTGAACATAACAACTATGTCAGCGGGTAACAGTAAAACCAACAGGACAGCTGCCTTTAAATATTGCACATGGGATCATTCAACACAACAGGTCACAGCACAGATGAGGTGATGTCATACAGAAACACAGCTGGGTTATACATGGTATTTACAAAAAAAAAACATTGTCTGGCAAATGCTAAGTTGGTATGTTCCCCTTGTTTCTTTTTAGGGGTTACACTGCCATATAAAAAGAAACAATCAAATGTTTATGTTTTGTTACAAACATATAAAAAGTTCAGCCAAAATACACTTTGGCTTAGAGAACAATGTCAGACTTGTACTTTCCAAAAGCTGTTTACAAACCCAACCGGATAACTGATGTACATGACAAAAACAGAGACTTACTTTCTCTCAGCCATGCAAACTATAATACACATGAGGTCATAAAAGTGCTCCGATCTGATCACAATAAACTGAATATAACACAATAAGTGGGAAAGGCACCTCTCTAACTAATAAGTGGGAGTTTGAAAGAAATTACTTGGGGAAACTATATCATTCACAGCAATGCAGCAAACATTTGTTTAGCTTCACATAAAAATAAAAGAGCAGTTTATGAAGATGTAAATCCCAAATATTCATATTATGAGTGCTCAGCACCAAAACAACCTTGGATAAGTGGAAAAGTTAATGGAAGAGCTAAATGGTCTGTCATGATGATTCAGGATTTCTGCACATTCATTCTTTCGATATAACAGGGGAGTTTAGTAGTTAACCAGGTATATAACAACTTGCTTCATATGGTCAAGAAAGTGCGATTTCAACATTAATTCACACTAATATTAGAGCGTCATCAAATAGTTTCTCATCAATCAACTAATGACCTTTTCTAAATGTTTTGGTGCTGCAGGGATGAAAACAAACTCATAAAAAGTCTAAACCTAGACTTTGAGGCTATTAAGAGGCCACTATCCAATGTAGTGTCAATTGTAGACTCCAAATGCATCTTAAATAACGGATCAGTCACAGGTAAAATCAAACCCCAATCATCATCACAGCAGCAGATTAATAACTCAATCTAAATCAGACATAAAAACACAAGCGTGACGGTCCGAGCTAATGTTCAGGATGAGGTGCAGTCCGTGTACGTGGTGACCATGTTTCCTCTTCGCTGGGTCACCGTTCTGCAGTGTTGTTTGGTCGTGCCCTGAAACCTGCTCTCTGTTCTTTTTATGTGTCTGTCAAATGTAAACATCTTCTCCATATCTTCAAACATGTCCTCGAAGGTTCCGGTACCAAAAGCGCCCTGGAAGTGTCTCTTGTGGCGGTTGTGTGCTTGCTGGTGGGCCTTTAAGTGCTCGTCAAAGTGCCGTTTTTGGCGAGCGTGCCTGTTTTGGCTATAGATGTCGGAGTCTCTGAACATGTCGTCAAAGTTGAAATCAAAGGAATGATGAAAACGCTGCCCTCCGTTCATGTCTTCATTGCTGAATGCATTGTCTCCTATCTGGTCATACTCTCGCCGCCTCTTCTCATCCGATAGGGTTTCATATGCTGCAGAACGAGTTTTCAAAAATTATTCATGACAGAGAAAGTAATGTGAAGAATCTTTGCTAATAAACATGCTATTTAATTGTAGATCTCTATATTAAGTAGTTAATCAAGCAGAATACATGATTACACCTACCAGACAACAGTTTGGAAAAATTTTAAGTTTATGTTTTTGAAGGAAGTATCTTATGCTCAATCAAGGCTGAATTTATTTATTTAAATGTTATTACAATTTACAAGAACTGTTAATATATTTTAAAATGTCATTTGTTCCTACAATGGCAAAGCTGTAATATTTATAATGTTACAAAATATTTATATTTTAAATAAATGCTGTTCTTTTGAACTTTCTATTCATCAAAGAATCCTGGAAAAAACATGTTTTACATAAAAACAGATAACAGTGATACTGATAAGAACCATTATTAACACTTGAGCACAATAACAATCGATAATCACTTGCATACAGCTTCAAAATTTGCATTTTTGATATGGGTGTGAGTAATTTGTGTAAAAAAAACATTCAAGTATCGTCAAGTTATGTTTACCACAGTTATTATTTTACTCATAAAACAAGGAAATCCCATTATAAAAACACACTTGAAAATCTCGAGGGAACCACTGGAGAATTTGTATATTAATTACATTTAAAAAAAAAAAAAGTTACTAATATTTCACAATATTACTGTATTTTAATCAAATAAATGCAGCCTTGGTGAGCATAAGAGACATTAAAAAAACAAAAAAAGAAATTATTTCAAACTTTTGAGGGTAGTGTACAGTATAACCGACCTTCAGCAATCTCTCGAAATTTGGTTTCCGCATCGGGGCTCTTGTTCTTGTCAGGGTGATATTTCATGGCAAGCTTGTGAAAAGCTTTTTTGATCTGACGGTCGGAAGCGTCTTTTGGCACACCGAGGATGTCATAGTAGTCCTTTCTGGCCAGTATGAGTTCTGTTATCACCAGGATGCACACTGCGAACATCAGTGTTGACTGTGCCGTGGCCATGCTTCTGGCTGATGGACAAGATGATAGAAGAGATAGCTGAATTGTGTCAGTTGGACCTGTCTAAACAATGAACATCTATACCTCTTAATAACAATGTAATGTCACATTAAAATTAATCTATGAATACATTTCAGGAAATGAAATAAAATAAACAAAAGCAATGTTACTCAGTGGAATTCATCCATAGGATTTTCAACATGTGCTGTACATCATAATATTCCTGATGTGTTTATATATCGTTACTCTTACATATATTTAGCTTTACCCATGCGCCACGCCCCCTTGATTAACACTAGTTTTGCTGTTTTTAACATTTATTCATACTGAAAAATGAAATTTCAAGTATATATTTAATACAATTATTTATTAAATATAACAGTATTTTTTTATTATATTATTTTTAAGAATATTGCGTTTGCCAGCGTATGTAACGTTACAGTATTCGGTACATTTCTACTATATTTTGAATATTGCCATATATTTTCTTTATATTGTTTAATTGATTAAGAATGATAAACCCCCGCAATACGCCTTTCGAAACCAACTTTCATAAGACTGACGAACTCATTTAGCCAGCTTGCTAACATGAACATTATGTCTCATATAAGCCAATCGCATTATCAACAACAACTACGAAAACATGCCATATAAATGAAAACAATTAATAATAAGACGTGAATTCTGGCATATTTTGAAACATGTACTTACTGTTCCTGACAGCACCGATGAAAATGATCAAAACTGATACTGGTGTTTTCAATATTTGGGCCGTACAACACGACTCTCAATCCTATTGGTGCAGCTCTGTACCACGTGATCTTTGCATAAGCCAAACACCAAAAACAATCACTGTTGCGTTGTGTTTACGCAGAGCCAAGAGGCACATATAAGATGATCAGATCCCATAAAATCAAAGTTTTCTAAACTAAACTCTTATTCCTGATGTTATTTACACAAGGGCAAAATAAAACTTTTCTTGTTTTTAGTATAACAAAAACATGATTATTCTGTTTCAGTTTAAAAGTAGGGTAGGCCAAGAGAATCTGTGCATAACAATTTAAATATATCAGTATAATTAGAATTTTTTATCTGAGATGAAAATATTAGGTAATTTCAAAACTACAGTAGAGCTTATTGTGATATGACAGGCATGTTTGTTTTAATTAAAGATTTACAATGTGTTATATATTAACACATTGTATTTTATTTTACTTTATTATTTTTCAAAGTTAATATTAGCTATATTTAGAACAAAGTCTAGTCTTATTTTTAAGTAGCATATTATTTAAATACTTGAGTGAAAAAACATTGAATTTTTATTTTATTTTTTCCAAAACAAAATTGAAAGCTGGATGCCTAATAAATGAATATAAATCTGACTAAAAACAAGGTGACTGAGAACAATTTCATAATAAATGAAGGGATGTTTCACCATTTATCAGTATCATACAAGGTTTTTATTTTGTTATTTTATTTTTACATTTATTTATTTGTAAATTACATGTACAATACATTAAAAATAAACATACATTTATATATTTTTTATTTTTACACGGAATATTTATGAGGCAGTTTCCAAATTTGTTTTAAGATATGACAGGCTTATGACAACAGCTGCAAACCTTGTCCATGATGTCATTACGTTTCCCACAATGCCTCAGCAGCAAAACAACGCACGCGCCGTGCGCATTTCACAAGCGTCTCACAAAGATGGCGGGTGTCCCCGATCCACTGGAAGATATGCTGTACTCCGAAGTGGACGAAAAAGCCGTCAGTGACCTCGTAGGCTCGTTAGAATCGCAGTTGGGTGGACAAAACAAGGCGGTGGGTCCTCAAGGTGACATCAGGAGACCCGCAAACGCGCTAAATCCACACTTGGGGAAATTACTGCCCGTCCAAGTAGGAACAACACTGGGGCAGCAGCGGCAGCCACAGCGAAACCAGGAGGGAAACTCTCAAGAAAACGGTCCGGACAGGATAGCGGCGTCCAGCTCTGTCCCCCCACCTCGAACCTGCCCAGTACCTCTGCGAATTTAGTTAACGTTACAGCAACGAACCGGGTGCAATATCATTCATCAAATTCATCAACTTGTTCAAGTGACGCAGCACCAACAGACTCTCATTCCAATACAAATCACATTGCGTCTGCTGCTGTCCGGACGGTTCCCGCCAGAATACAGACTGTGAACGGAAGCAGTGGCACGTTAAACTCTTCTGTTATCGCTTCCGCGCCTGCTTCTGTAAACGGTATTGACATTAGTGCAGGTGTAGGCACTGGTAAAAGCAACATGTCTGCTCCTACTAGTACAAATACTGCTTTTGTGTCCGCTCAGCCCAACAGCACACTGCCACATGCGAATGTGTCACTAGATAGTCAAGCAAACCCCACCATAGCACTGCACAGGCCTCCTAACACCATCACAAGTGTCGTACACAACGGAGGTGACCCTAAAGTCTCAGGATTGCCCATGCAGGGCACTGGTCTTGTCTCCACCTCTGTGGCGTTCACAAACACAGAGCCCAAATCTGACCCTCAAAACCAGATTAAAGCCATCGTCCCGAACCAGCTCCTTGGGGCTCCTGTAGGGTTGCACCCCAGCACGCCCACTCAAATTATTGTGTCCTCAAGTCCAGTGGTGACCTCACATCCTGTGGTAAGCACCCCTTCTGTCCTTGCAAAGCCGGCAACAACCACTCTCGTAGGACAGCACACGACCCTGTTGAGACCTGGTACGCCCGCTCAAGTGACAGCGACCACGACGGGCCAGCAGCGACCAGGGGCACCTACGACCCAGCTGATTGTCAGACCCCAGCAACAAACTACTATTCAGTTACCACCAGGATTCACCATACCACCAGGTAATAGCTCGGCTGTGAAAAAAATGGTTTAAAGGAATGATTCACCTAAAAATGGACATTTAATCACTCTAATGCTGTTTGACAAACTTCTTTCTTCTGTGGGACATAAAGATATTTGTAGGACTTTATTTGTGCATATAGTGAAAGTAAATGGGGTCCATCCAATGTCGTTTTGGACCCCATTTACTTTCACTATATGCACAAATAAAGTCCTACAAATATCTTTTTTGTAGTTCAAAGAGATCAAATGTCATTGCACTGGCAAATCAAAATCTAAAGATTGTGCATTTTCGCTGGCGAAATCCAGTCACTTCAACAGGATTACACCTTATTGGGAATTTCACTTGAGGGCGAAAAATCTCACAACGGGTTCAAGTTGGTCATGACTCATGTGGATTTGTAATGTTGTTCAACAACAAAAAAAATGCTTTGTTTGAAAGGGATTTCTGTGCTTCAAACATCGCTACATTATTGACATTTTATGCATTTTCTAAAATGTGACCTCACCTTAAGACATGTCTCAAAATATCTTTTATGTTCCACAAACCAAAATGAGTCATGCAGCAGGTATAGAACAACATAAGAGTAAATTAACTATCCCTTTAAATTTTGTTAACTAATTTGAATACTTGTTGTGGCTATTGTTATTGCCTCTATGTGATTTGTTCACACCGTTTTCTCTGTGTTGTTCTGAAGGTATGGTGCTGGTACGTACGGAGGCCGGTCAGCTGGCGTTGGTTCCTCAGCAGGTCCTGGCCCAGGCCAAAGCTCAGAACCAAAATAAAGCCACCATGTCACCGAGACCTGCTACACCCACTGCTGGAGCGGCTTTCAGAGTCACCACACCTGTTGCCCAGGTATGAGCAAGACTCTTGTTGGATATCACATGAATAATATTTGCAGATGATTGATTTATTAATTTAAGGATCACATTAGCAAAATTTCATGGGATAAAAAGGTCAATTGCCAATAATGTGGTGATGTATGAAGCAGAGCTCACACAGAAGTCACTTTAAAAACCAAGAAGCTTTCAATAACACTATTTTACAGTGTCCTTGGTACATGTTACATGTACTTATTGTAGTAATAATAGTAAACAATGCATCATTTCATGCAATCAACACTAAAGTTTCTCAAATAATCCACATGAATCGTGCGGTATATTCATAAACTCACACATTAGTTCGTGGTAACCGGAAGCACAAGCACGTTCACTTGCCGTCCGAGAACCAATGAGATTCATTCTCGTGTTAACCAGCACGTTTGAGCTTCAGCGTGAGGTTTGTTCTCGTGTGTCAAGCAGTTTCATTTGAGCTTCTGTTTTTGTTTGCTGATCAATATTCATTTTCTAAAGATAATTTGAACTCAACCGCTCGATTCATATGGTTGTTTTACAATCACTTTATGAACTTTTTGAAGCATTAAAGTGGTAGTTGCGTTGCTGTCAATGGAGGGATGGAGAGCTCTCAGATTTCATCAAAAAGATCTTCATTTTTGTTCCAAATATGAATGAAAGTCTTACGGGTTTGGAACGACATGAGGGCGAGTAAAAATGACACGATTTTCATTTTTGGAGGAAATGTCCCTTTAAAATAAAATGTAAACAAGCTTTCTGTTGATCAACACAGAAAATTTGCATGACCAATTTGAAACTGTTGTGAATGAAATCTGAGTGGGGAAATCTTTTGACCTTGTGCAAAATTGTCACTTGGATTTTACTGATCTTATTGAAATGACTGGATTTCGAATTTGCAGAGAATTTGCAGAACAATGGTAAACGTGACTGAAGTTGCTAAAATTGCACTTAAATGAATCTATTGAGCTAATTGACTTTTCATATATAAAGTTCAGTGGGATAGTTCACCATCATGTTGTTCCCAATGCATGAAAGATTTACATTTCAGACAGAATGAAGTCTCCATCACCATTCATTTCCATTGCAACTTTCTTTTAATTATAATAATTCTGAATTGAAAATGAGCATCTACTTTTCTCATTTTGCTATTCAAAACTGGCATACTTTTTCTTCTTTTTTTTGGCACACAAACTCTTGTTGTATGGAAAATATCTGAAAAGTCTTACAAAAGGACAAAAAAGCACCATATATGTTGTCCATGTGACTTCTGTTCTGAAGCCCTATTGAAGCTTTGTATGAAGAAAAAGAAGACAGATAATTTACATTTGCTGGAGCTCTCAAATCAAATGTGACCCTAATTAAATGTCATTAACAATAAACACTGTTATTTATCCAGTGGTTCAAAACCAAACATCATATGTGCCATACTTGGATTTGATCTGTTTATAATGCAAAGTCAGAGTGGCTTTAGATTTGATATCTATCGCTTGTGGAGTATAGTGAACTTTTTGTTTGACAGCCAGTGTAAGAACTCATTGAATGGCAAATAGGTATAAGGAAAAGTTATATTTGTGTCTGTTTTGTTGAAAAAAATATGACATGCACGTTTGGAACAATGTAAAGTAAAATGGTAAATGTTTTTATATTAGTTCATGGTACCTTGTCTTGTTATTGCACCACTTTTCATTCAAATTGGAAGCTCAGGCAAAATATTTCTTCTGTCATGTCACTGTAGAGGGAACCTGCTCAGCATGAGACACGAGACCAGGACGGTGCAGGACTACTTGTACTGAGACAAGAATTCTTAACTCATCATATTTTCTTTATTTCCATAGCAGAAGACAGCAGTGGTAACGATTACCTCAGCTCAGAAGCCCACCACCACAGTCATTACAGCAGGAGCCCGTGTTCAGCCTGCACCACAGACAGTCCTCAAACCCTCTGTGACACCTCAGAGTCCCAGCACGACCTCTGCCGCTGCCCCAGCCAACAGAGCACCTGTCCTCTCTCAGGTACTATTCAACTTAAACTCTTTTCATTCA